CCCCAAAGAGCCCTGTCAAAGCCACCCCAGCTCCAGCCACCCCTACTGAGGCCAAAGCACCCCCAAAGAGCCCTGTCAAAGCCACCCCAGCTCCAGCCACCCCTGCTGAGGACAAAGCACCCCCAAAGAGCCCTGTCAAAGCCACTCCCCCTCCAGGCACCCCCACTGCAGCCAAAGGACCCTCAAAAAGCCCTGCTGAGGCCAAGGCACCTCCAAAGAGCCCTGTCAAGGCCACTGCAGCTCCTGCAGCTCCAGCCACAGCTCCGGCCACGGCTGTTTCTGGTGTCCCTCCAAAGCCCCCAACCCCAGCAAAAGCAGACACCGGCCGTCCCGGCTCTGCCCCTGCCAAGAAGCAGCAGCCCCCCACCAATAACAAGGTGGCCAAGCCGGCCACTTACCCACCCCAGCCCAAAGCTCCCTCGAAGGCCCCGCTCAGCGCTGACGATGAGGACCTGCCGCCTCTGCTCCCCCCCGAGCCGCCCGTGCTGCTGGAGCTCTCTCCACCCGCGGGGGTCCCGGCCCCCCTGGCGCCACAGCCCATCCTCAAGAATGACAAGGGTATTTGCGGCCGCGGTTTGCCGTGTGCATGGAGTGTCACTGGCTGCCCACGGGATACTAACCCCGCCCGGGGCCCCGGCGTGCGGGGATAGACCGAGCCGAGCAGCCGGTGAGCCGGGGCGCAGGGAGGGACGGGGCTCGGCACGGTCCCGGCGGTCACTAACGCGTGTCCTCGGGCACGGAGCACGGTGTGGTTTGTTTGTGGCATGGGCACTGCGAGCTGAGCTGGCTTCACACGGAGGAGCTGCCACGTGCCTGTCCCTGCTGTTTGTGGTGTCCCCGTGTCACAAGGGGGGACGTGGGCAGTGCTGGTGACAAACTGGGCTGTCCCCGCGCTCTGCCTGAAGTGTTGGGAACCCCAGGAACACCCTGACACCTGCGGAGAGCTTTGTCAGGGCTCCTGTGTGCCGTGGGCATGGAGGCCCTTCCCAGAGCAGGAAGAGGGACTGAATCCAGGTAATGGCTGCACGGGAGCATCACGGTCACCTCCAGGTGACCTCCGGCCTCCAAGGTTGGGGACACCTGGCTCTCCTTCCATAACTGGTGTGGTTGGTGCCATGGGTCACGAGTGGTGGTGACGCTACAGCTGGTGGCCCTCGGGGCACCCAGAGGTGCTGTTCCCTGAGGGGGGTTCAGGGTTATCCCAGATCATCCCTGTAGTGAAGCCATGGTTGTGCAGCGGCCCTGGGGGCTTGGTGAGTGGGGTATCCATGCTGTGTGTTTGAGGGGAGTCAAGATGGGCCCTGACACACCGGGCTTCTGCCACCTCAGCACCCTGGGAGTGACACCCACCTCCTCCTCGAGCTGGTGCCACAGGTGCCACAGGCTGGAGCTGGCTCAGGATTCATTCTGGAGCCTCCGGGCACTTGTGGGGCTCTGGCACCTGGCTCCCACCACAGTGAGAGGCTGAGGACCCACTCCTGCCACCCTGCTGATGTCACTTGGGGTGCAGTGAGAGCTCCTGATGGCATTCAGAGTGCAGGGAATGCTCCATCCACCACCTAACTGGGTTGACTGGTGGCTGCACTGGGAGCCAGCAACAAAGGCTGTGTCCCCTTGATCTACCGGAGGTGGGAAGAGTGAGGGGTGTGTGTCTCTGCAGGGTCTGGCACAGAGTCCGACAGCGATGAATCCGTACCAGAGCTCGAAGAGCAGGACTCCACACAGGCCACGACACAGCAGGCACAGGTAGGGCAGGTGGCACACGCCATCCGTGGTGGATCAGAGTCCCTGAGGTGTCACTCCAGGATTGTCACGGATCCCTCTGCTTTTCCTTCCCTGCAGCTCGCGGCAGCAGCCGAAATAGATGAAGAACCCGTCAGCAAAGCAAAACAGAGCCGGAGCGAGAAGAAAGCTCGGAAGGTGAGGCTTCTCCTGTCCCTGGTGAACAGCCCCAGGGTTCAGAGTGACGCTGGGGATCTCACCAGTCCTGGGATTGGAGTGTTCCCTCCAGCTGACAGCCCGGGAGTGCTGCTCCATGGCAGTAGATGCACATTTCCATTTGTATCCATGCAGCAAATGTTGGATCTGGGACTCTGGAGAGAGGAGTGGGCACATCTGGGCTGTTTCCAGAGCTGCTCTTCCCTCGCTGACCTTTCCCTCGTGTTTTTCAGGCAATGTCCAAGCTGGGCCTTCGCCAGGTGACAGGAGTCACCAGAGTCACCATCCGGAAATCCAAGAACATCCTCTTTGTCATCACAAAGCCAGACGTGTACAAGAGCCCGGCGTCAGACACGTACATCGTCTTTGGCGAGGCCAAGGTGAGCCCACCCTGGAGCCAGCAGGACGCCATGCCAGGGCTCCTTCCTGTCACCTGTGCACTGTGTGGCTCCTGCCAGGGAATGTGCTGGCACTGCCCAGGACTGGCCTCATCGCTCCTTTCCTTCCCTCCTGCAGATCGAAGACCTGTCCCAGCAGGCTCAGCTGGCGGCCGCCGAAAAGTTCAAAGTGCAAGGAGAACCTGTTTCCAACATCCAGGAAAACACACAGACCCCCACCGTGCAGGAGGAGAGCGAGGAAGAGGAGGTAACACCTTCCCCATCCTGTCTGTGGGGTTTGGGTTAATCCACGGATTCCTCTCCTTCATCCGTGTTTCTGCTGTGGGGGTAAAGGGAGAGCACAGGGTTCTACCCTGGGGGTGTTTACAGTGCATGCCTGGCCTGGCTCCCAATCCAGACAACCCCAGCCCGTGCCAGGCCTGGAACTGGCACCAATCCTGGGCTGTTTTTCCCTCAGGTTGACGAAACCGGCGTGGAGGTGAAAGACATCGAGCTGGTGATGTCGCAGGCGAACGTGTCGCGAGCAAAGGCCGTGCGAGCCCTCAAGAACAACAGTAACGACATTGTAAACGCGATAATGGTGAGTGTTGGGGGGCAGCAGTTTTGGGGGGTCCCTGGGGAAAGCTGCCGGCTCCAGGCTGGCTCCTGACTCCCGTTCTCCCCACAGGAGCTGACGATGTAGCCGCCGGAGGGAGGAGCCTTTTTTGGTGTTTCAGAGAAGAGTAAAATACAACTAAATTTAAAATTTGTACTATTTCTATCGGTTAATAAAAGTTGTGGCTTATTGTTGGTGAAACCGCTGCTCTGTGGTGCTTTGCTGCCTGCCCTTCCCTGGGAGTTGTGGCCCCAGGGTGGAGCCTTCCTCCCGGGAAGATCCCGGCGCCGATATCCCGTCCTGGAACATCACCTGCCCGTTCCCTCCTTTCCTTCCTGTCCCAGAGCCTGGCTGGACACGAGCCCGGGTCAGCTCAGGGTCACCCCTTCATCCCCTCAGGGTTCCCTTCAGGGAGGGCTCCTCACTTCCCTGCAGCAGGCAGGAATGGGGAATCCTGGATGAGGGAAAAGCTGTGGACTCCAGTAAAGTCTTTGGGACAGGTGAACTCCTCAGGTTCAACCCTGGCTGGTGGCCGGGCCCACAGGGTGGTGGGGAGCTGGGCTGTGTCCAGGTGGTGACTGTGAGGGATAAAGGGAGCCCTTTATCCGTGACCTGGGTGGGGGGATCGAGGGTGCCCTGGTTTGGGGATGACACCAGCTTGGGTGGGATATTGATCTGCTGGAAGGCAGGAAGCTTCACAGAGCCATCTGGACAGGACAGATCCCATGAACACTCCAGGTTTGGGGAAGAGGGGCTGGAAAGCTGGGAAAGGCCCTGGGGGTGCCGGTGCCAGCGGCTGGCCACGAGCCCAGGTGTGCCCAGGATGGCACCTGGACTGTCCCAGCCATGGGGACAGGGATTGTCCCCTGTGCTGGCACTGCTGGGGCTCCTCCAGCGCTGGGTGCAGCTCTGGGCCCTCACGGCCACAGGGACATTGAGGGGCTGGAGATGGGAATGGAGCTGGGGAAGGGCTGGAGCAGCAGGAGAAGGCTCTGGAG